ATAAATTCCCAGTAGTGAAATTGCTGGGTCAAATGGTATTTCTCTTTGCAACATTTTGAGAAAGTGCCATACTGCCTTCCACAGTGGTTGCACCATTTTACACTCCCACCAACAGTGAATAAGGGTTCCATTTTCTTCACAACTTTGCCAGCATTTGATGTTTGCTGTTCTGTTAAGTTTTGCTCTTCTTACTGGGGTGAGGAGACTTCAATTCTGTCATCTTTACTCATTGTTCAACTTTCAGATGCATTGAAGCGATAGAAAATAACCATGGCTTGAAGCATGCACACTTTAGTCTTTAAACGGACATTGCTTTTTAGAACTTTGGAGAAGTCCTTGATAGCAGAGTACAACATGTCTTTTTATTATTATTTTTTTAATACTGGTTTATTTACAAAATTCAAATACATTATTTTTGAAATCAGATTTCTTTCAATTTCCTTCAGCCCCCCCCCACCCCGATCAAATTGTACAACCCCATGATTAATACCCCTTTCCCCCGGCACATCCTTGTCCCTCTGTTTCCACCCTCTCCCACCCCTCCTAGATCCTTATACTCTTTCTGTAATAATGGTTTTATACGATATTTATTCTTGTGGGACTCAGTTCACTCAGCATGATGCTCTCCAGGCCTTCCCAAATTAAGTAATTACAAAAATCATTGCTCCTGCATGTGGCATAGTATTCCATTATATGAATGTACCGTAATTTCTCAATCCTTTTGTTTGTGGTTGGATACTTGGGTTGTTTCCATGTTCCTGCGATGGTGAATAATGGTGCTGTGAACATTGATTTACACATCTCTGTTTGTTCCTCAGTTCTCATTTTCTCAGGGTATATTCTAAGTTAGTGGAATAGCAGGGTCATAAGGAATTTCTATGTTCAGCTTTTTGAAGAAGCACCAAATTGCCTTCCAGAGTGGTTGTACCATTTTAAAATCCCACTAACAATGTATAAGAGTTCCTTTCTATTTATTACTTGCTGCCCTGTTAAACTTTGCCACTGTTACTGGGATGTGATGCTACCTCATTGTAGTTTTGATTTGCATCTCTCTTATTGCTGGTGATTTGGAGCATTTTTTCATGTGTCTGCCATTCGAATATCTTCCTCTGAAAATTCTTTTGCCTATTGTAACTTATTATTAGTCTTTATCTTGTGGAGACCCAGGAGTATTCTGCTACCATGAGTGTTGATGATTGATCCAAGTAAAATGAAATTGTTGACAGTGTCAGGTTTTGCTCTGTCTGTCATGTCCTTGCTTATTGGTCTAGTGGTGAAGATTTTCGTCTTCCTGATAATGAATTGCAGTTCATATTGAAGGCTGAAGTCATCTTTAGCAGAAAATGTTCTGCAGCAATTTCTTCAAGACCTCTTCACTTTCTGCAAGCAAGGTTGTGTTATCTGCAAATTGTATACAGGTTGTTCTAGTCTTCTTCCCATCTTGATGCTACATCCTTGTTCATGTAGTCCA